TGGGATTCAATAGTTTACGGGGGGATAGCTCAAACATTTTCTTCTTTTGTTTGCTTTGGAGACAGTCTCGCTCTGCAGCCCAGGCTGACCTGGAATTTACAGCCATCCGGCTTCAGTCTCTCGAGCCGGAGACTAACAGTGGAAGCCGCCGCTGGGGCCAGGCCTCTCTTTCCTCTCCTGCTCCTTTCTTTGTTTGGTTTTTGATGTTGTTTGCGACAGAACTTTGGTATAGGTGAACTGTGTGGCCCAGAAGTTCTGAAACTTCTGGATTCTTAGGTCCAAGTAATCCTCCTGCCTCTTGCCGCAGCCTCCCTAATGCTGAGATTACATGCAAGAACCACACTAGGCTTTTCATCCACTCTTTCTCCTCCTCTCCCTCCTTCCCCTCCCCCCTTCACTCCCTCTCCTTCCTTCCTTTCTGAGACAAGTATCACCATATAGCCCAGGTTATCTTCAAACTTGAAATCTTCCTGCCTCAGCCTCCCCAGAGCAGGGACTACAGATGTGGCTCCCACTCTTGGCTCTCTCTCTCTCTCTCTCTCTCTCTCTCTCTCTCTCTCTCTCTCTCTCTCATATGACTAGATCCACCATGGTGGATTTACATTAAACTATAGTCTGAGATTGTTGTCATCCACTGAAACACAGGGCAGTTGGAAATACAATTCCTTGATTCATTCATTGTCTAGGCCCAAGATTGCCTTTGTTTCTGATGTAAGCTGTTGTCCGTGTCTCTGGCTAGTTCATGGGTCTTCTCTACCGTGGCCGACAGTAATCTGATCCTTGCTTGCTGTCAGTCTGCAGTTTACCAGCAGCTTCACTGATTCACATCGGCTGTTGTTGATCAGCTGGTGGCTGGCGTGCATTTGTATGTATGTACACGCACATGCGTGTTGCTAAGCAGGTTTATCGGTATTGTTACTCTCCTTTCTTCCTGCCTGTCTGAGCATTGCCGGAGCAAGACTTTGGTTTCTTTGGCCTGTCACACGCTGTTTTGAGAGGAAGGCTTCTTTCTCTTCCTCTCCCTCCACATTTTACTGTCCTTTTTTTTCATGTACCGAGTTCTGTAAAGGCCAGGAGCCAATGATGCCGAAGCATGGTGGGTGGAGGACTCCACATAGCTGAGGGAAATCATGAGGTTGTCATGAGGAGACCAACCGAGTCATCATCCCACAGGAGTCATATTAGAAAACCTTTGACCTGTTGAACTTTGTTAAGAAACCAAGTCAGGTTATAGGCCTAAATTGATGGCATCTTTGGCCTCAGTTGCCCCTTAGACATCAGATTTCCACAGGGTAAACAATAAAGGCAACATGATAAAAGTTATCTCCTCTGTCCATGTTTTATACATAAATCTAAGTGAAGCAGGCCTTAGCCTTGAGATAATTCAGGCCTTTAGGTTCCTGAACTAAGACTTGAGAGGAGAAGACAAATAAACAAAACATGCTTAGCAAAGACCCTGATTTTGACATTAGGAAATGACCACGCTGAACCCTGGACGTCTAGGACTATCTGAGTGGCAGTTTTAGCTCCCTGGACCAGCTCCCTTGGCTTTCAAGTTGGTGATTACCTGGCCACTGTTCTGCCTCCTCACTGAGATGTGGATCAGTGTGGGTACTCAGGGACCATCATCACAAGTCCCCTGAAGAAGGTTTGTCCTTGACCTCAACATAGGTACTCAGGAGGGGACCTGGTGAAGACTTCTGTATAGGAACCAGCTTTGGCTGAAAAAAATGTTTGGCTTGGAAATTTCCTCTTTCTCTGTCTTCTAACAATCACTTTGAATTAACTTCCATGAATGAGGATTTAATATGAGGTCAGGCGTCCAAGACTTTAAACCTGCTTGGTCCCCAAATTGTCTTCTCAGCCACAGTGACTAGGTTGTGATTTCCAGAGGAGGAATGTTTGATCTCAAGCAAGGGAAAGTATCTCTTTGATGAGAGTCAGGAGAACCTGTTTGAGTGATGTAAAGTAGGCTAACAGAAGACCAAAGGAACAGCTTAGGACACAGGGCAGGTTTAAAGATCCATGCTATAAGCCAGGCCTGGGGGACACACCTGGAACCCCAGTACTTAGAACGCTGAGGCAAGATGGCTGGTTCAAGGACAGCCTGGCTTATGTAGGGAACCCCTGCCACAAAACACAAAACGAAACAACCCCCAAAATAAGCTAAAGATCTAAGTCAGAGGAGCGTGTGCTTTGTCAGATCCCACGGGTCCCACCAGGAGGATGCTAGGCCTTGAGGATGTATGTGTGTTGAAGCACTGTGGTCCAGATGGAGAGGCCAGAGGACGTGCCACACTCAGGCCCTCAGCACCCTGAGTGGTCCAGGACTGAGAGGGAAGGAAACCAGGCTGCCACAGAAGAAAGGGGACCTGGAACTCAGCAGCAGAAGTGACCGCAAAGCTCTGAACTTCAGGCTGTAGATGTGTATGAACACAGCCATCTCCATCCGATGCATTATATATCCCCAGAAGGCATGTGATGGTTTTTCTCTCTCTCGCAGTGATTTCAATTTGGCCTGGGTCACAGGCATTCATTGGTTACACCCCACTGACTTTTGTCAACAACCGCTTGGCTTCACATTTGGATTCTCTCCAGCCCTGGGACGGGCCCTGCAAGGGTCAGATCCTCATGGCTACTGTGCGCAGCGCAGTACCTTGTGCTATAGAACATTCAAAGGCCTGTTTATTACATGTGCCTTTGTTATTGTCTTAGCTATTATCTTAAATCTAGAAAGTATCAGGCAGGTGCATGGGTGCACAGCTGTAATCTGAGTTCTCAGAAGGCAGAGGCAGGAGGATAAATTTATTAGAGTACACAATATTTTGGGGAACACAATACCACCACATTTCCTCTCTTTTTGTCTAAAATTAAAAAAGCTTATAACTAATACAAGAAAAACTATCTTCAATAAGTATATGCAATATACAGTCAAGATTACATTAACAATGTCTAGTCCATTAACATTTGACAGATCCAGACAAAAAACTCCATTATATATATTAACAATGTCCAGTCCAGTAACATCTGATAAACTCAGACCAAAAAATTTTCATTACTTATCTTATTTAAAACAAGTAGTTCCTTTTTAAAAGTAGATTCCATAATCTCCCAAGTCTGAGGACAGCCTGATCTGTAGAGTGAGTTCCTGGCCAGCCAGAACTACATGGCGGGGCCGTTTGTTTGAGTTTTAAATGCCATCCGCTTGCTTGCCAATAGGCTACATGGTAATTCCTTCCCATCTAAATGATTTCACTCAGAGGTTTAGAACTAAGTGCCTAAGTTAGCAAACTCCATACATAGGCAGATGGGTGAAAAAAAAATCCCCAAGAACTGCCGTGGTCAGAAAGGGCCTGTGGGGAAGTGGTCATGGCCCAGCTGTCCAGGCTCTTCTAACCTGTATGTGATTATAGACTCTTAGATGACAGTTTGTTAACTAAGATTTTCTAGATAGATGTAATGGTACGTGCCTGTAATCTTAGCACTTGGGAGGCTGACACAGGAGGATGGCCCCCAGTTGGAGGCCAGTGTGTACACTACAGAGTCAAATCCCATCTCAAACAAAACAAAACAAAAAGCCCCACCAAATTTAGAAAAAAAAATAAATATTGCATTAAAATGTTATCTTATCTTGATTATCTTTGATGCATCTTGCATTTCATGCCTTCAGTGAGTTCTTCCTCGCATTCACTCTAGGCCCATACACCAAGCCCTGCCCAGTCCCTTTTTTGACCAAATCTCACCCTGAGAAGCCTGGGTCTCACCACATAGGCTAGGCTAGCTTCCGGCTCTCAGTCTTCTCTCTCTCTCTCAGCCTCCTGAGTGCTGGGATCACAGGCATGAACAGTAGTCACACCCACCCAGCCCAAGCACTTTGAGAGATGTGCTTTTTAATTGACACAGTAATTTATAGGGTGCAAATATTTAAAGATTAGTTCCGAGTAAACGACATATTCATCACCTCAGATGCTTGTCATAGCTTTGTGTTGGGAGCATTGAAAAACCTCCTCAACTAGAAGTAGCTCCTCTTTAGAAGTAATTATCCATGTCAATGATTGTTAACTATACACCAACCTCTTTCTAAGGGATTTCATAATGCCTCATTTTGGAGAACTGACTTGAACTCAACTGAACTATGCACAGAAATGGGAATAAGCTCCAACTTACTATGTTGGTCCCAGTTCATTTCTTCATCTCTACCTGTCTCTGTCTCTCTGATCTACAACCCCCCCCCTCACCCCCTCCCATTGCAACTGTACCCTCAGTTCCTTAGGCCTCACTTTTTTTTTTTTTTTTAACTTTTTAAGATAGTCTTGCTACGTTGTAGACCAAGCTGGCCTCAAACTTGTCAGTGATCCTCCTGCCTCAGCCCCTTGAGTTCTAGGATTGCAGACATGTGTCAACAAACATGTCTAGCTGTGGCCTCAATTTTTTTGTTTTGTTTTTTTGAGACAGGGTTTCTCTGTGTAACAGTTCCAGCTGTCCTGGAACTTGCTTTATAGACCAGGCTGGCCTCAAACTCACAGGGATCTGCCTGCCTCTGCCTCGCAAGTATTGAGATTAAAGGTGTATGCCACCACTGCCCACCTGTGGCCTCAGTTTTTAAAATAAATTTAGAACTGAATTCAAGTTGGAATCAAAACCACCAGTATACAGATTGAAACAAGTAGAACCTGTGAACTGAATTGAAAATATTTCAGGACCAAGTTATAATTCAGGAAAGAACTCATTGTTTGACTATTATATCTCCCCAATTCTAGGAGAAAAAAAGAAAATGGGAACAATAGATTTTGAGAAGTGTCTCCTAGACCTCATCCCCTCCCAGCATCTCAGCTCTAATTTGTAGTTTGAAGGGCTGAATATCAACAGCCTATGTAAATATTCATTTTATTAGAAATGTTATTTTGAAAAAAAATGTAACTTTAACACTGAACTGAGGGAAAGGTCTTGTTTGTTAGTGTGGTATCTATGTTCAAATAGTGTTTTGTTCGTTTGTTTAGGGAACTCAGAAACAAGGCAAACATCCAGTTCGGAGAGAATGGAACAACCATATCTGCTGTCAGCAATAAGGCATATGTTTTTGAACGAAACCAATCAGTTGGCGACCCTAACGTTGACTTGATTAGGACAATAAATATTCCTCTGTTGGTAAGTGGGCCTTGTAGTATCTTGGGTTTGCAGAAGGGAAAGGGGCAAGCCTGATAGGATTCTATGTAATTTAAAAGCTAGTATTTTATGATAAAATATAGATATTCCGGGGCAGGGGAGGGGGGACTCATCTTGCTTAGCATGACAAGTCCCTGAATTTAATCCCAGTGCCACCATAACCAAACAAACAAACAAAAATGGACATACACAAAGACTTTGATTTGTTTGTGTGTGTGGCCCTCCTGACCTCCAGCTTGCTACATCAATTCTCCTTCATCTGCCTAGTGCTTGAATTATGGGCACACTCCAGCGGCAATGCCTAGCAAGCCTTTCATGGATGTGTACTTTATTAAGTATATAGATACACTTTTTTCTGAGGTCTGTAAAACAAGGTCCTTTCAAAAGTTTTTCCTTTGTGTTCAGGATTAGCATTTACCCACATAAGTAGCGAATGTTTTGGTACTTATGCCATTCTGAGACCTAGAGTTCTCCTCTCTTGAAACTGGGTCTCTTGTAGTCCATGCTGGCCTACCACCTTGTAGCCCAGGCTGGCTTTGTTTTTTTAATTTGATGCTAGGGATCAAACTCGGGACTTCCTGAATGGCTAGGTGCGGAGTCAGGGGCTGCTTTACCCAGGGATCCACATCCCTAGCTCTCTAGGGAACTTCCTTAGTCCCTTACACCGACCTCCTCTGAGGCTCCCACACTCAAGTATCTGCTGCTTGACACTGATGGACCCAGGGCCTCAATCTTGCTTTGTCCTGCTGCTGAAGATGCAGAAAGTTTAAAGGCTTAGCCACCAGTCTGCTCCAGGGGAAGTGGAGCCACCTCGTGGCCAAAGGTCTCTATGTGTTTATAAGAGCTCTGTGAATGGGAATTCTAAATTCAGGTTACAATAAAATGGATTGAAGGGGTTGGGGATTTAGCTCAGTGGTAGAGCACTTGCCTAGCAAGTTCAAGGCCCAAGGTTCGGTCCTCAGCTGGGGGAGGGGGGGGGCGGGGCGGGGAGAGACAAAAGAAAAAAAATGGATTGAAAACCTGACCTGGTGGTTCCAGCCTGTAATCCCAGATCCTTTCCAATGCAGAAACTGGAGGATTAAAAAGCTCAGACTGGGTTCCAGAGTGAGTTCAAGGTTAGCCTAGGCAACTTAGTGAAACTGTCTCAAAATTTACAAAAGAGGACTGGGGCTCAGGATAGAGATCAGTGGTAGACGGGCTGTCTACCGTGTGCAAGGCCATGAAGTACATACACACACACACACACACACACACACACACACACACGCACGCACGCACGCACGCACGCACGCACGCACGGCTATAGCTGAACTCTTATTCCGCATGGACGGTGGGGGGGGGGTCACTGGTTGGATTTTTTGATGAGCCTCAAACATTTACATCTCAGATTCTGGCTCATTCTGCTGAGGGGCAGGAAGAGAGCCAGTGGGTGTTTTGGAGGGGTCACTGGTTAACCTGCCTCTGCTCTGCAGACCGTTGTAGAACTGGCCCAGCTGCCCCTCCTCCGGGAGATCATCGAGGCCATGCTGAAAACCTACCAGCAGAAGCTGTTTGTGACCCACACTGTGCATGAACTGCTCTGGGGCTACAAAGATGAGATCTTGTCCCTCGTCCATATTTTCAAGCCTGACGTCTCCCCTAACTTTGGCCTCTTCTATGAGGTAAGGTTTCTTCCTAGAACCTCCACTTCAGTTCACAATGGGAAGAGGGCACGCAAGACAGAGTGCATCTTGAGTCTGGCTTTCTTGTAGGTGAAGGCCAAAATTGCCTGGAGTTCTAAATATTTCTAAAAGTCTGTGAAAAATAAGACAGTAGTTTTGGAGGGGGAGGGAAGAAAATGTAGTAAAATGACCAGTTGGTAATAGATAAAGTTAACCCCAGGAGTAAAGCATTAAGGTAGGTGTGGCACAGTCTGCTCATCTTCTGGCTCGAGACTGTCCAAGGTCTCGTGCTCAAAGCATAACGCTCAGTAGCGTTTCACTTCCTCTCTTGCAGAGGACAAGCCTTAAGGGTTGACAAAACCTCAAGGCTGTTCAAACACAAATTATCAGCAAGTTTTAAATACCACTTCTGTGAGAGAATGGGTCCCGGAAGTCCAGTCTCACCAACATTGCTTCCTTCATTCTGGGAGAGCAGCCTGAATACTTGTTCCCTAGAATGTCCCATCTCACAGAACACAGCTTTCACATGGTAATTTGAGGATCAGAGTACACTCAAATTATCACAGTCTTTCAAAAGTTTTTTTTTTTGTTTTAGTGCTTATTATATTTTATCATTTTAAAAATTGTGATATTCATTCATTCATTTTCAGAAAAATGGAACTAATGATGGAGACTATGTTTTTCTAACTGGAGAAGACAATTACCTCAACTTTACAAAAATTGTGGAGTGGAATGGAAAAACGTAAGTCTCATAAGATTTTCTGGTGTAAGTTTTTTCATTTTTCAAATAGAATATGCCTTTTCCCTCCCTAATTTAATATTGGGGATGTTGCCTAATGGTGGAGCATCTGCCAACCATACACAGAGTCTGAATTTGATCCCAGCAATGAGAAAGAAGTTGGTGTTTATCTTTTGGATAAAAATGTAAATGTTCTTAAAATTATCTTTAAAAATCAAGATGAGGTAAAAAATACCCTGAGAATTAGCATTGATGATTTGTAGGCTTACCACAACCAGATCTGAATAGGAAGCCCTGGAGTAGCCGGTCTTCCTTGGTAGTTGTGGAATAACGTGTGGTCAAACACTTTCAAACCAGTGTTCATTTGGTGACAGGGGACACAGCCCATCTCTCTTTTAACTTCATGAGTGTGGATTGTTTATATTACCTTTTCTAAAGATGAAATTCATTTGAATTCTGTATTATAATATTTCAAATTAAAACATTTTATTACCTTATTTTTGTTTTACACCCAAACACTTATTTTTCTAGCCTTTTAACAATAATAAGGTGGCTCGGACTTTTATATTCATGATATAATTTTAGATACATTGTGATACATTATTTGACATGTCTGAACTTATTTTTACATTATTTTCTATGCTTAGATTTTTATGATTAATATTTTTTCATTTTTCTCACTTTTCCTTCCAAATAAGACAATAATTTTACCTGTTTCTTAACATACACATCTTTGCACCTTTACTTTGTTTTTGAGATATAGTCTAACTATGTAGCCCTAACCGGCCTGGAACTCCATATGTAGACCACAGAGATCCACCTGCCTTTGCCTCCTGAGTACTGGGATTAAAAGAAATGTGCTATGATGGTTTTTATTTTATTATGTTTTTTGCCTTATTTATTTATTCATTCATTCATTGATTTATGGCAGTGCTGGTTTTTAAACTCAGGCCTTGTATGTGCTGAAGCCTCTACCACTGAGATATACCCACAGCTCCTTTGTTTTGTTTTGGGGGGGACTCAAGCTCTCACTTCGTATCCCAGCCTGGCCTGGAGCTCTTGCCCTCTCTGCCTGGCTCCCCCGATGCTGGGATTGCAGCTGCGCACCACAGTGGCTCTCCATGGACTTTCAGCATTTGTCTTACCTTTGACCTTCTGTGGTTTTACAGAAGTGCGTCCATATTTGGATTTATGGTTCCGTTTGGCACTGGGGCATACCTCTAATCTGAGGCCTCCAGTCTTTCCGAGATATGGGGAAACTCAGCAATTATCTATTTACTTGACTGGCAATATGCCGGAGTCTTGCTACAAGTGGTTGGGATTTAGGCCAAGTGACTCCAGGTTCTTGGTATCTTATTATAAGCACATGTAGATTTGCAAAATAGCAAGCAGACTTTATTCAGAGCAAAATGACCAGCATGTATTGATGTTGTTGAGAAACTCAGCAGGCCACATGAGTGAAGGCCACATGAGTGAAGGTCACATGAGAGAAGGCCACACAAGAACCCAGATGATTGTTTGGGACTTTCTTTTTTGGTTCAGGAAGTTGTATGATTGCTAAGGATCACAGTATATGTGGTGTTGTTTTTTTTGTTTTGTTTTGTTTTATCTTGATTGATAGATTGTTTTATTATGAGAGATTTTCATTTTCTGATCTTGTATTTATGTAAATTCCCTAGAACTATCTTCTGATTCATGAGTTTTTCTCTTCAGCTACAGTCTAGAGTTTTACCCCTGTTGATTTTTTCCAAAACATTTTTTTTGTATCCAAGTTTTCTATTTTTCAGTCTTCTTGATTTTGTTTCATTTTTTTTCTTCTTCTAATATTGTCACTCACTGACCTCTTTTTTTTTTTTTTTTTTATGGTATTGGAGACCAAACTCAGAGCCTCTTGCACATCAGCCAAGAGATACGCACTAAGCTGCACTGTTAAGCTCCACTGTTTTCTGTGTAAAAGAGGTTTATTTTAGCCGGGCGGTGGTGGCACACGCCTTTAATCCCAGCACTTGGGAGGCAGAGGCAGGCGGATCTCTGTGAGTTCGAGGCCAGCCTGGTCTCCAAAGCGAG